AAAAAACCACCCAAGCCCTTTTCAGACAAGGTTGGTGGGTTTCATTGGGGAGAGACACCCAGGGGGGGGGGGGGGGGGCAAGATTGGATAGGTGCCGCCGAATAGCCGCGCGCAATTCGAATACTCACGTTGCCACGTGAGGACGAAGAAGACAGCGAACAAACAAAGATGAGGCATGGCCAAAACGTGGGAACGAAAGGTTACACGTTCAAGCGTTTTTAACCGGCCACCCATCACCTGCTAACCGTTGATGCGATGGATCCGATCTTCTGGGACCGAGGAAATGCTTGGTCCATGCCCGCCATATAGTCCCCCAAGGCGTCGATCGAAGCCGTGGTCGAGTACGACAGAAATATGGGTTCTCCGACCCCCGCTTTCCCACCTGCCCCTGCGTCCCCGTCTGCATCTGTCGCGGGGATGTCTGAGTCACGAAGCTGGACGGCTCTTTTCCAGACTGCCGGAGGATCGAAGGGATCAGGGACGTCCATGTCGGCGAGGTAGAACGGTTGAACCTTCACCCCCGGCAAAGTGGCTAGGGTCAACCCCAAGCAGGATCTGTTCTCTATCTAGCGATCACGACGGAGGGGCAAGAAAGCGGCGTAAAGCGTTTTAGTCAAGTTGCTGTCACTTCAAGCGCAACCGTAACCTTGCAGTGCATAAACGCGGAACCTGTCAGAGAAAAAAGCATAAAGTGAGACAAGGTCATGGAGGAGTGGCCTGGGCTGCATACGCCCGACAGCAATGTGGCCAAATCTCACCACCTTTTGCTGAATGATCACCCACGAGCTTCTACGGAAGCAGTAGAATACTCAGGAGTGTTACCGTACCTATGACACTAACAAGTCAGGTCACGTGTTGTTGTACCCTATAGGGCCCACAGTGCCGTGCCGTCAAAGCTTGCGATAAATAGCGATTGTGCCCATCTGTGCTCTTCGGTGCGCAGTTTCTTACGAAGAGAAGTTGCCCGAAGACCCTTGCTCACCTCTACAACGCGTCCTTTGCCCTGCATGCCTATCGCCCCAGCCGAGCTGCAGCCCACAACTGCGCTTAGCCCGGGCAAAACTTTCCTGAGTTCTGGCACCACATTCTCCAATCTCTCCGCGTTCCCGTATATACTCGACACGTGTATCAGCGCCAGATCTATAGACGCACCCTCGGGGAGTTGCGCCAGGGCTTTAGCAGCCGCCTGAAAGTCGCCGAGAGATTCGCCGGTGAGAGGATGGCAACTGCACCAACTACGTCAAGTACACGGCATTGAGATAAGTCGAGGGTTTGGGTCGTACCCAAAGGGCTCCTTGGTTTTTTGTTGGTGGAATATTTCTCCGAGGTTGGCTTACGACAAAAGTTGTCTTGAAATGAAATCAGCAGCACTCGATGAAGAAAAGCGGAAGGCTCGCACTTATCTCTCATGTGATAGCGGGGATTCGACGCCCGTCCGGCGACACGATGTTGTTTAGTCTACACCGCACCTAGACTGCTTAGTGAAGAGGCCAAGTGTAAGCTGTTGCTGCGGCTGCTTCTGCTGCTGTTGCTGCTGTGTCAACATAACCAGCTAGACTGTCTTCAGCGCAGAGCAGCACCGCGTGGGTTGTGTAATATGGACGCTATTGTTGGTATATTCGCCTGCGTTGCCCGTCGAACTCGATGACAACCGCCGATTACCAAAGACAACCGCCAGCGTGCAGCCCGCCGCGCTCCCCACAGCCAAGCTTATTGCAACTTGAAAAAAGTGCATGGCGTAGTGCACGTACACCAGTGCAACGTCCAAGAACGGTGACCGGCGAACCAGCTCCTGCTCTATGAAGATCTCCTGTAAGTCAACCTACCTCAGCTATGGCGGGCACTAGTTCCTTCTTGGTAGAGATCGATGACGCCCACACTTGCGCAAGGCTCTCGTCCGCCTGATCTTCGGTGGCCATCCTACATGAAGTGACCGTAGAGCAACGCTGTGCGCACCTTCTTGTGGCGCTCACGCTAGAGGAAGAAATCGGCAAGCGACCGGGCGATGGTGAAAGAGGCCATTTTGCACCTGCAGGGGGCAGGCCACGACGACGGACAACAAACAACACATCCCGTGAGGGATTAATGTTTTACCAGCGAGAGCTTAACAAAGCCAGGTAAACGTCTGGAGCTGGAGAAATACGCAAGAGTCGCTGACCTGTTCCCCATTCCCGCAGCAGGTTGTGGTGCTGGCCTAGGGTCTGTCCCAGTTGAAGTCAACGGCGACCACCTTCCGTGATGCAAATTGAAGTTACCGAGCTGTGCACGACTGCGATACACTGGGTGCATGCAATGCGAAGGGCATATCTGTACACGCGCCTTCTGTACGGTAGTGCGGCTGGATAGCAGCAGCGGTATACGACCCCTTCGTGAAATAATGGATGAGGATGGCGCGATCAAACTCCAACACATGCGTTCAACAACAACACAGGAACGTCACACAGCAGTAAGTTGCCAACAGGACGCACGTGCGTGACACGGATCCACTGATACCGCAGTGGGCAAAGGAGTACCCACATCAGACGAACTTACGCCAATGGTACTGCCGGTACAGCGACAAACGCAGTTGGTACGTTGTTGCGTGGCTTGAATAGAGAATGTCAAGGTGTCTGCCTGCGAGCTAACGCGACTCCATACTCACGGGTGCGTGTGAGCATGTGCCCACGATGCGGAGGCTGTGCGAAAGCAGCCACTCTCCCGACGGAACTAAAAGCTGGGCCCGTCGCTAGAAGAGCCAGCAGGGGGCCATATGCCACCCGGTGACCTGATCGTGAATCACGAGGCTTCATCGAGACAGGTGGTACTGCTTACCAGCTGGCCGTGAGCTGGACTAGGACCGAGAGACCGAGCAAACGATGCAAATCTCGCCGCTTCGGGAGTTGAACACCCGAGGTTTTCTAGGCGGCAAAGGCCCGGGTAAAGGGGACCAAGGAGGCCAAAAAACAGATCTTGAAAGATCCACCGGCCAGAGATGATCCGATCCATCCACCACCCCTACCTCTTCTCGCGACAAGTCGGGTAGCGAGACGCCCGCACTAAAGCATCGCACGTTTTCATGACGGACTCTCGTGTGGAACAAAACGCACCCCGAGACGCCGCAAGTATCGCCGAGCTCCTCCCTAAGAATGGCCTTGTGTATAGCGAAAAGACAACCCTCAGTGAGGTGAGATTTTCTTTCAGACAACATCACTTGCGTAAGTATGTGGATGCATGGGTTTGTATGCAAAGTCGACTCTGAGTTGCGAACGGGCGCTGAGAGCCTCCGCCTAACGGGCGAGCAGTATAACGCCCCCTTGTTCTGCTGAACAAGTTCGCCATTCCCCCGCACATTGGGCGGACTGCTGTGCGTTGTTTGGTGCATGCCACGTGACGTGCAGGTGCTCTGTAAACCGAAGCTGATGCCTATCAAGAGCATAACACTGCAGAAGCTGGAGCAGCAGGAGGCGCAGCTACTGGCAGAAAAGCAGCCCGAAAATGGGCTTGCGTAGAGGCATGAATGACTTGCAGTAGGGCTCAGCGTGGGCAAGGCGTGGACACAGAATACGGGGAGTATATGCGTGCCAATTGCATGTATGTAATGTCTTCATGAAGAGAAAAATGCTTTCCCTCTGGTGTCGCGTCGAAGCTTTGAGACCCCGGTCTCAATGATGAGCAGAGAAACACTGCGGGGAAAGGAATGGTGCCACCTGGATCAAATAGTCACAGCAGACCCATGGACTCGGTTTCTCCTCTTAAGAGTATTGCATGATGGGTCGATTCGCTGTTTGCCGCAGCCTAGACACTGCTGTGCCGACTGAGCGACTCTCGCCTGCCACTCTTCCTTGCGTACAAACCAAACCGTCGATTTCAATGGGGTTAGAAGCAAACTTAGACGTAAGACATTGACATCCTATTTTCCAGCCAGAAACGGCATCCCTTCCCGCGTGCCTCGGTGGGGCATGGAAAGAAAAAGCAATTCAAGACAACATGAAAAAGCTCCGAGACTAGGGGAGAGGACGCGGCGGCCTGTACGTCACTCCTCATCACCAACAGCTGTGGCGATGCTCAACATTTCTTCAACATGCACGAACTTTTCTCTCGGCTTGCCCTTCATCGCTCCTCGTGCTACCTCATCTCGATTTATTCTCTGGTAGCCGTCCCAATCCACTACCTGGACCTTTTTCTTGGTCCCACCCGATCCGCGAAGCCCAGGTGCACCATCTTGCCCCCCCATCAACATGTTTCTGAGACCCTGTCGGCTTTCGGCTTTATCACCCAACGCCAGCTGCTTGCTGCTGCGAGTGGAGATAGGCAGGTCATACGTGGAGTGCGAAAGGGCATCGTAAGGGACGACAAATACCGTAGCAGCAGCATTAAAACGTAATACTTCATTTTCATATTCGCAGAGGCACCTGCTTCAACTACGTTTGTGTCGACTACGGGAGAAGGGTTGTCAAAAGGGATGCGATCAGCAGTTTACACCTGGGGGTGATCTCGAAGTGCCTTGCAAATCGCCACCAGGACCGTTGAAACCATCCATGCATGACACACGTCGCATGTTTTCGGCCGTTTGCAACACAACTTAAGCTCGCAATAGAGCAGAGCGAAAAGAATGGAGAATACCCAGCGCGACGTCCGAATTTTCCAACGATACAGTAGACAACGAACGGCCAGAAATTGCGCTTGTTTCTGACCTGACGTCCTCGACGATGGCAGCCACCACAGATCTAGCATCGGTTATATTGGTGCCGATGATTCCACTTGGCCCACGCCGAGCCCAGCCGCTGCAGTACATGCCAGGTACCCCCTGCACTCTCCCCCTGCACGCAATGACGACGACCAAGGGGTAGAGTTAACACATAAAAAGTGCAGAAGACTGCAACTCGATGATGGCGTACGTATGCGGCGGGGAATATAAATACAACTCCATTCAGTCATTTATCACACCAGAACAAGCTGGCTCACCGTTCGTTCGCGATGATCGAATTTCGTTCGTCGTACGGCACGCCATGAACAGGAAGACAGCGGTAGCCGATAGAACCGAGCACCATCCCGCACTCAATGACCTCTTTGACGCCCGAGCCAATGGCCCGTTGTGCGCCCGTGGCTTCGTCGAGCTCTAACTGATTCCGTTCAACGCGGACTGCGCCAACCCTGCTTGGGATCGAAATGTCGCCATCCATCGAGCGATCAAGGCGGTAAGGAACTACCGTACGAAACACGCCGCTGTTTGACAATAAACGACGGAAACTCGGGACGAGATTCTGTCAAGCAGACCATTTCAATGCTGCAATAACATAACAAAGTTCGGGTATACACATCGCACAAGACCCGAGAGAGAACAAGGATCTAACAGCAACAAGTTATGTCGCCCGCAACGACGAAATTCCGGTCGGTTTCGTGTCAGAACCCACTAGTGAAAGTTTTGCCGTAGCCTGAAAGGCCTGTAGTGAGAACAAGACGTGCTTAACGCACGAATCGCATCATCACCCTGCGGGAGTGCCGCTGTCCAAATGGGCCCGCTAGCTCTCGCAAATCAAACTTTTGAGAAGCGCTTGTGCGAGTTTCATGTGCCAATAATTCCCCGTTTGCCCGCACCTGTTGGGAATGCTGTTGTTCGGAAGTACGTCCGAGAGTCCAACCAGGAAGCGAAATTCGACGGCCTTCGCCTCCGCCGACACGCTGTCAGATCCATCCGCCACCTTTGTTTATTGCGGGTGGTGACAGCACGTTACCAAATCATGAAACGGAGAACGGCAGGTTGGTGGGAGAGGTTTCTCACAATGGACTCACAGTTTTGGTAGTCATAGAGGAGGGAAGCCCGGGTGAACTTTAACACATTTTTCTACTTTTCGTCATCGTAGAAGACGTCGCGCGAAACGAGATGTTGTAAGAGCGCCGTGTACCACATGCTCCAGAAATGTTTTTCTTCGAACGGCGGTGGTGTCGGACCTGATGAAGCGTTATTTTCTGAGAAATTGCATAGATGACTTCAAATCCTAGTTTGGTGCCCTAACAGCACTTTTGCAGGTATGCAGTTTCGCTAACAAGCTGACTACGATGCGAACGGCCAGCGTAAACCAACAGGGAGATTAGGCCCCGATTGGCGAGGGTCAAAACCAACCGACAGAGCACAGGTAAACAGAAGGGTATACCCCCACGAGCTAGCAAACTGGTGCTGCGTGGACGCATGGCTGTTTCCGCACCTTCGTGAGCAATGCATCTATCCTATTCTTTGGCCGTGCTGTCTTGAGCTCGTCTAGGCTTGCTGGAGTTCGGCTCAGCTCGAGCTCCTCTTGCCTCACTAGACAGGCTACTCCGTCTAGCTTCGTAAGCTCACGAAGCTCCTGGAAGGGACGAAAACAACACAGGAAGCGTCATCGCCTGCACCGCTGACAAACGTGGTTCACATCACGATCAATGTAAACGTAAACACAGGACACAAATCACCTTGAAAGCTATTCATAGTTTTAAGGCTAAAGGCCACCAAATACTTTTCACACGTTAATGAGGAAGTTGTCTGAGTGAAACTTATGTCGCACATTGTAGCATCTTAAACTCGAAGACACACCTTCATCGTGAAGGATGCCTGTACATGCCCCCGACGTCCGAGGATCACCACTCGTCGGAGGCCAGCACCGGCGGAGGACAAAACGTCCAGCGCGTGATCGCAAATGTCCGAACCTTTCAGAGCGTTCGCTCCTGTTGATATGCGTATCACAAACGGATTGAACCGGAACGCCGGTGCCAGTGGAAAGGGTGATGCTGGTGAGGCCAACACATTCGTGTAACCACGAACTGTGTTTGAACCCGAGGAGATTGCGTGCATGGTTTGACCTTGAAACCTCTCGACGCAAGGATTGACTTCAAACCAGGCAAGAGTGATTTCCTCGGCGCATGCACAATCTCTTGGTCGGTGCACCGCGCGAAAGAGATCACCAACCTGCAGAAAATCTTCAATATCCGCATCGTGAAATATTACTTACCCTTCGCAAGAATCCGCGCACAGTCTAGCGCTACGTTGCCGACACCAACCACCGCCACCGTGTCGGATGACGCCAAGGCTTTCGCAAACTCCTCCGACATATGGGCAAAGTCAGGGTGTCCGTTGTACCTGTCATGGCATAAACACGTCGTCGTCCGTACCGATCACGTCAAGTCGGTGGTCACAAGATAAGGCTTCCCGTCACACAGTTTGTGTGCCATCAAGTCCATGACGAGAACGGGGTTGTCTAAACGAGGGAACCAATCCCGTCGTCGTCGCACATCACCAACACGGGCGAACAAGACTATGTATATAGTAAATGTGGGCAGCGTCGTGTTCGCTCAACAACTCTTTAATACCAACAAAGACTTTTCAGTGGACGCCCGTGCCAGGATCCCGGTCTGAGGAATAATCTCAAAATCTCAGTGCTTACTGGTTTCATCAGGCCCGCTTGGAAGGGTATGATATACCGCAGCGAGCATTTCGGCCGCAATCGGGCCGCAAACCCAACGTTTTGAAATTTGTTGAAATAATAGCTGCTGGCACCAATATCCTCAATGGTAGGTCGACGGCGGCGGTACCTACCCTGCTGGCTTGGATGAATCAACGGCGAGCATTCCTGGACGTTCGGGGGTGCTGTACTTACCACGACACGAAAGCACGTGCGGCAAACACCCCCTCGAGATCAGCCCCCGGGACGGTTAGCTCCCTGTCTCCTGCAGCCCCGTAAGCCAGCACAACTACGTCGTACAGCTCGGACAGTTGTGCAGCTGACACATCCTTCCCGAAGCACACGTTGCCGAAAAAACTGACCCTGGCATCTGAGGCAACCTAAAGGCAAAATGACGGCAGTTGAAGCGTCGGGCACAAACGAGGGTTGTTTTCCCTTCATTTGGTGTAAATCGGCAACTCCTTGTCTGGTGTGTCGGCACTACAGGTACGCCCAACAGTTGATACGCGTCGAGAGCCAAGCGAATGGGTGGGAGCTGTGCTGCTACCCGGTGCTCGTGTGGTACGTACATAATGTGCCCACACTGCCGTTCGAAGCCAATACATGCTCTGCTCAAGCTCGCGAAATTTGCAGGCTCTTGGCACTCACCTGGTCGAAGTCGTTTTGCACGGCCTTTACCTCCGGGTGATCAGGGGCTACCCCAAACCTCACCAAGCCGTACGGAGTGGGCAGCCGGTCGACTATGTCAATGACGACTTCGCACCCCAGCTCCGCCTCTTCCTATTGGCACAAAAATGCACGCACATGCATCGTGAGGGTACAAGTGTTAAAAACGCTGATGCGCACCCCGGTGGTCCCGTTCCTGCTGTAGACTTTGCAGCACATCATACGTTGCGGGTTCGAATATCCGGAAAAAAACACTCCCAATTCGGAGTAAAGGCGCATGGTCGCGAGGGAAGGGACTATTGAATCCTTTTCACGTTACAAGTTGAAGGCAACTACAGTATCGCAGGAGAAGAGGAGGAGAATTCAATCATTCCTCCTGTGTGTGACCCGGCTGGTGCGCAAACATAAACGGAGAGGCCAAGACTGGACCCAGAATGTAAGAAAAGAAACATGCAGACGAGCGTATCTACAATAGCCGCGACTACGACTCGGGTTCTGCGTGACCTCATATCACCCTTTCACGCTCATTCCGCCAGCCATTTAGTCTAACATCGCTGGGTGCACTTTGCTGTTCTTATGTCTGAGAGAACTTGCAGGAAAGGAACACCGAGGTGGCAGCAGAGCAGTACGGATTGTATGCACATCATTACGATAACAAGTATATCATTTGTCTTTGCGCCAACTTTTCAGCATTCTCAAAGCGCCACATTTCCAGCGGAGGCCTGAGAGGGCACCATTCCGTTTTCTTGGGCGATCTGCGGCCACGATTCCGCTCGCCATTTCCCCGAACAATTTAACTTCGATTTAGAGTTGATTCTTTTGCTTTGTCGTTCCTTTTTCTCAATCACACACACTTACGCTCGCTCCTCGCTCCACAGCCCACAGTGGTGTACTAGGTCTCTGTCTGTTTATTGTCTGTCTGTCTACCGGACTCTTTTTCAGATAGACTGGATGCTTCCGCTTCCTTTCCGATCACACATACATGTGGCTGGAACTCACGCACTCCTTTGCGGCTCTTCCCGTTACACCAGGCAGGTTTATTACTCTGTCGCTTCGCTCTCTGTCTGGATCTCACGCACTCCTTTCTTTGCATATCACACGAGATCTCTGCTGTCTCCCCGTATCTCACACCCTGCATCATCAAGTAAGTACTGCTGCGGGCCCGTCAGGGATTTCTGCAAGGTTCTCCGCCTGCGTTCTCCGATTCTCCGTTTTCCCTACCTCAGCAACTTGCGCAGCTATCTCGCTCTCTTCCTCGCACACGCGCTCGCACAGCCGCGTAGCCGCGTACTTCACACGAAGTCTCTCTCGCTCTGTAGATTGTCTCTGTCTCCCTCGCTATCTGTATGTCTGTTTGCCTGTCTGTCTCTTTCTCTCTCTCTCTGTCTCCCTTACTCTCTCTCTCTCTCTCGGTCCCTCTCATCAGCTTACACATCCCCACACAGAAATCCGATTATTCTAAGTAGAGGCCACAATATTTTTGATGATTACACTCAGCTGTACAATATAACACGCTGTGCCTTCTAGAGCAGTACACAGTAGTAGTTCTCGCTTTGTCTCTCTCTGGTATCGGTCTCTCTCGCTCTCCTTATTATTGCTCTCTCTCTTCCCCCCCCTCTCTCTCTGTCTATCGCTCTCTACAATCCCTCCGATTCTTTCCGGGGATCTTTCCCATTCGCTCCTCCTGTTGCCACAGCTTTTCGGTGTTCTCTCTCCTTTCTTCGTGCCGCCCCGCGTAGACACCCTTCGTATTCCGTTGGGGTGTATACACGATGACACGCTGTTGTTCTTTCCAACAGAACAATAAAGAACAGCATCGTGCTTTCTCAATAATGCATGCGTGTTCCAATACATGCGTGGCTGCCTATAAACTTTGTTGTCGTGTGGTTGTTGTGTGCAATTCTTCTCACTTTGGGTCCATCCAATATCTCCGAGCAGAGGTTCTTCCAAACAAACGCAGGCACGTATTCACTCTATTCGTATATATTCCGTTCCGTCTCTTTGAGATAGACTGGTTAGATGGTCCGGTCCTTCCGGCTTTCTTTCCGATCACACGACGTCTGTCGCTCTGTCCTCCGCTGCACACATTTATTTGCGGCTCTCACACGAGGCACTTAGGTCTGACCCTCTGTCGCTTCCCTCTCTGTCTGTCTGTATCTGCGCTGAGAGGGCTCCATTTCTGGTCTTCTCGGTCTCTCTCACAGCGCTCCATTTCCTTGTTTCATCTGTTCCTCGCTGTTGTTTTCTTTCGTTGTGTTGTTTTCTTTCGTTCACCGTTTCTCTCTCATCATTGCGTTTGGCTCGTTCATCACACCCGGCTCGGTCGCACGGAACCTTTCTCCCTTTCACACACACACGTCACATTACTTCGTGCCGCCAGTTCAGTCTCTCTCCCTCTCACATGTCCCACACCACAGCAGTATGTAGAGTTTTTTAACTTCCAGATTCATTTTTCCCGTTTTCATTTTTGAAAAGTTGTTCATTCCGTTTTCCCGCTATTATTTCTCGCTCGCTCGAGGAACGAACCGTTTTTAGGCGCTTTCCTCTGCTCCCCATCCACCACAACAAATACATCTCATCGTTTAACTTCGCCTCTCACAGGGCTTTAGGCCAGTCTCTGTCTCTTTCGGACAGTCAGCAGTCTGCTCTCTGACACGTCGGACTTTCACATGTTTCAAAATACACGCGTTCGTCTCTCTGGGATCTCGCATGTACGCGCCGAACATGCAAGAATTTAATCTCTCTCCGGTATCTCTTCAGGGTCGGCTTCGTTTATCTCCGTTTCTCGGATGCATGCAAACAACTCTAAGCATATTCACGGGAACGTACTTCACGGGAATCTCACAGCCACGGCATGCCACAAACGAAGGCCCCATTCAACAAACGCCGACTAACATCGTGCATCAAACACCAAGTAACATTCGTCTTGCGGTACGATTGTCTCAGCGTGGCTGCGTAAGCCGCCAAAAAGCCTTGTACATGTACCGATCTAGAGAGGGCCACAACGTTAGCTGCCATTGCCAATCTACGCTACTCTCTGTTGTGGGCATGTTGCATAGGAGCGGTCGGCACCGTGTGGCGCACTCACCTTGAGCAAGTACTTGGTGACGTAAAACCCAGCAGGCCCAGAGCCGACCACACACACACGAAGAGGGCGCCCAGCAGAGACATCGGTTGCCGTTGGTCGCTGTATTGCTGTTCCTGCTGTCCTTGCTGACACGCAGGTAGGGAGGGGGGGCGTGTGCTTCAGACCTTGCGCTGCACTTTTGTATGATACAGCGCGCAGGCCCAAGCGCGCAGAGCTTCGAACCCATCTCATCCCCCCTGCTTGATAGGGTAGGAAAAGCACGCGAAGCTGCGCAGTGTCCGAGGGACTGCTGTGTCTGGCTGTGCTGGTGTGCGGGTGCGGCATAACCAACTGCGGAGCAATTACAGCAGTGCGTGGGGGGCCGTGGTATCAGGGGCAAATCCGCGGAGTCCCTCGATCTTTGCGATCTTTCCTGTTTCCCAATTTTGGATATATAGGATCTGGCGATCTCGCGCGTGCGTTCTCTCATCATCCCTCTCCTAGGCGAAGGGCGAACAGGTGATAATTGTGCAACAAGTAGTCCACAACGTCCCAATGGCTGACGACCAAGAAGAAAGGAGGGAAATCGAGGCGTACCTGCAACAGCATCACTTGCAAACCTTCATCGGAGACGCGGTCAACGAGGTTGTGAAAGAACGGCCAAAAGACCCACTCTCTAAGCTCGGCGATGCGCTGCGAGCGTGCTCTGATGCTTCGAGACAGATTCAAAAAGTACATGGGCGGCAGATTCTTAACGGCGAGGCGCTTCCCGCCTTAGAAGTGGAGATTCGTACGGGTCAGGTAAGGCGTCACGTCCGACATTTTGCACGCGGAGCTGCTGTATAGTTAGCCTTGTCGGCGAAGCGAGTTCCACTCATGGTGATATCAAATTACTGCACCGTTTTCGGGTATTGTAGGTGTTTCGATCACATACCCTACTGAACAGCATATCGTGTGGTGTACTCTGTTCACCTTGTTTACCTCGGGCAGATGCTCGATTGTAATCTCTATCTACAAGTATGGTACAATAATTTGTCCATCTTTTTGGTGCAATTCCTTCGCCACCTACTCCTGTACCCCACCCAATTGCGCGTGGTGCCTGTCAGGGCCCTGTGTTTGCTGCGGTAAGTTCTGGTCCCTACGATGACAACGAAGAAGTCTTCGAAGGAAGGGGGCTGCTTCAGGCTGTGGAACACACTGATCAGATCCTTGCCGAGATTCTCCTGGGCAAAGACCCTACACAGCAGACCAAGATAGACAAGTCGCTCACTCAAGAGTCCACCTTGCCCGCGAACGTCGTCTCGGCAGCATCAATAGCATGTTGCAAGGCCGGTGCGAAGCAGAATCTCGTGGCTGTATTCGATCACATCGGTACCATGTGCGACAACTCTGATGGGAGGATTCCTGTAACGGCTTTCAGTACCATAAACGGAGGTCAATCGGCGGCGTCATCGTTGTGGGTTCAGGTGAGGACACGAGCTGTACGGATGGTGGAAACGCCTCTATTGTCGATTTAAAATATTATTGTGCTACACGCTCAGAACCGATCTACGAAAACCGACTGCTGAAACACCAGAATGATAAGTTCTATTCGAAACGTGCGTCATGTTTCGGGTTGATGGTTGCTCTGTCGTTGAGGTTGGCATACCGAATCACATGCCCGTCCGCGAAGCTGGTATCGTAATAGAAACGATCAAACATGACAAGTAAGCTTAATGGGTGGCGTGTCATGAGATGCTAGCCCATGTTTTTACATCTTTGGTAGCTTGTATTGTCTCAAATCAGCTCCCCGAAGCTCGAATTTTTCTACAAGCAACAGTATACAAACTCTTGGAACTGCTATCCTTCATTGTTGCTTTACAGGATATTTTCATTGTGCCCACTGGTGATTTGGTATCTCTTTCCGACCGGCTAGCTGCCGCGAGTGCGGTGCATCGAACTTTGGAGGATACCGCCCGAAATGCAGGCCAAGAAGTCCTGCAGCGGGGTCCCCGAGGGGGGTTCTGCAACGGTGCTGGCACTTTTGAGCACCTGATGGATTGCTTGATGACATCACTTGACACAGTCGGGCACCTGGGGAGGGTGGAGTTCGTGGTAGACGTGCATGCGTCAAGGCTTGTTCCATCGTCAGAAGAGAGCGAGGTGACCGAGAAAGACGAAGAACGTACAACAGAGTACGACTTGACGACGTTCTCGTCTGATACTACGGCACTCGAACTAACCTCCGCACAAACCCTCCTCGATACCTATTTAGAGTGGCTAGAAAAGTATCCCATCACCGCGTTCGTCGAACCCTTTGCTGATACAGACGTTGCGATGTCAAAGGAACTCTTAATTCGGGGAAACCAAGTTTTGCAGGCTAAGGCCGGTGCCAGTAGAGACCCAGGTGACTCTACCGCAGCGGCATCGACGGGCGAAACACAAGCCGAAAATCCGGGTCCCACCGAAAACGTCGAGATTGGGGGCGACGACAGTTGCCTGCTTAGAGTTATCGCGGACGAAAGCGTTTCCAAGCCCTCCCAGCTGCTGTTTGTGAATGAACAACGGGGCGCCAACGCAGTCGTGATCAACACGTCCAAATTCTCTACCCTATCAGAGATTATTACGCTCACGACAAGGGCGAGAGACCTGGGCTGGGCCATCATGGTCGCCGCCGTAGACGAACATGAGCTGGAAGGCGACTTTTTTGCTGAACTTGGGGTTGGAATGAGAGCTGAACAGATTTTGCTTGGAGGGTTACGGTCAGCCAGCACCATTGCGGCGTGCACACGGTTGATGAGAGTAGAGGACGAAGGCGTTCCACACGTAGGCGTTGGGAATGAGTAGCGACTGGTACGTTTTCAAAGCGTCAGACACTACGTGGTATGGCTGTCTCTAGCTGGCCTATGAAATACGATAAGCACTTCTAGACTTCGCTTGCGGAAAGTTTCATGAGCAATGTGCCCCCCCATATCTCCTCCCCTGACCTCCACTGCTGCAATGCCTATGCCGCACCCAAAGTTAGCGACTCCCTGCCTGCGCACCTAGAGGTAGCGAATCCCTGCCGCTAGGTGTAACACTGCTGCACGTAGATCTGCTGGACTGCTGCACGTAGGTCTAAGCGTCTGATACGTTCTTCACGCGCGGCGCACCTTCGTACCAGAAAGGACGAGCCAACCTCGAACACCGTTGGAGTGCCACATCACAAGCACGCACGACGTCCGCTCACACAAACAACAACGCACGGTCGCGTTGAATCCAGACACATGCGTAACCGAATACAACGGGAGGTCAAGCCCTAACCTCTACTGTACAATGGGCGTAACTAAGAGGAAAGAAGATATGAGCGTAACTAAGAGGAAAGACAAGATGTTGCTCTAGGTTCACTCAGTCGAGAATAACTTCTTCGCTCTCTTCTTTGGCCTCGACGACCCTTCGCCCGATACCTCCCCTTCGGAGCCGATGGATGGCGTGACGACACCATAGATAGCCTTGGTGGGCGACACCATGAGTGCACTTGTGATGCCTACGTCGAGCTCATCCTCTTGCTCCCTGATGGGGGTTGTCGTGGAGATTTCCGTGTGCCTTCCCACAGAGGAGTTGCGGGGCTGGCGGGTGGAGTCACGCACGGGGTGCTCCTTCGGCCTGATATTTACAGCATGGGTACGCGTTGGGAAGTGTCGTGATCGAAGCAGAGCATGCTACATCGGAAGAACAGCAGTGTTGAGGTTTACCCAATGAAGTTGGGCACTTTACTGGACTACCATGTGCAAAGAGGGAATCGTCAAAGAGATGTGACCCTTTTCAAAGGCCATCTCCACATTTGTTTCTGGGACCTTTTTCACGTTTGCTAGACATGAAGGCCTCTGTAAGGGGTATCCAGAGCCCGACCGGCAGGCGGCGAGTCGAATCACTTCTTCACAATCTTCTGAGCATGTTGTTAGATACACATCTACTCCACGTCCGCGACGTCACTACCGTAGAACTTCCACAAGTGGGGAGTCTGCTTGTTGGCCCCCCCACCATTTGTAGGTGAGAGGCGAATTCGAACCCGTGCCACCAATGTGAAAAGAGGGAGTCGTCCCCGACGGACGTTTGGGAGGTACGACACGTTCTAAAGGTCATCTCCGCAACCAACCAAGACCGTTCTTGAATTTACTGGTCATTCGGAGCTCTACACGGTTTTACTGTACTGGTGCCGATCTACGGACGGGCTTTCGGAGTAGACTACGCCAGTTCTTCTTGCCAACAGTGGCGTGCGAGAACTCAGCTGTAGTTCTGATTCTTATATTTGCCGGATAGAGGTCAGAACGAATTTTGATGTGAAGGCAAACTACAAACTAAAACAATACCAACAACCTAACCGAGAATCCTAATACGCTCATCCACAATGTATCACCTGACAGCCTTCTTGTTGCTGGCACCAGGGATTTGTTTCTGAACTGGCGTCTTGAAGACGGGAAATTTCCTACCCAGCTGCGTCCCACGAGGAGTCGTCGGGACATGTACGCCGTCAGCACCACTGTTGCCTCCAGATGCTTCACTAATGTTCATCTTGTGCAGGGGGCGCCTCGAGAAAGAAGGGGATGGCGTGAAAGAGGACGTACCCGAAGAGCGCTGACCCCTTCCTGCGCACTGAGGAGTCTCTGGGTTGTAGACGACGATTTCGCCAGTTTTTGCCTCTGTGGTGGGCTTCTCGCTACCAGCGAGCTCCACCCGCAACCGGTTCATCTCCTTTTGATGCCGAATCTCTGCCAACAGAAGTTGTCCATCAAGGTCTGCCTGGAAGTCGCTTTCGAGGGTGTCTCTCAAGGCTACCTCCCGGCTCTCGAACTCCATCTGAGGGCATTTCATTCGAGGTCGGGGGCAGATATACACCCTGCAATATTCGAAAATGGGTCGTGAAAATGGGTCGCCAACGGCCAACCTACTTAGAGTAGGATAGATATCACAACATGCGCAAATCGTCTCTCTACGACAAAGACACATGCCAATGTTTCAACGACGAGAGGTCAGGTTGATCGGTTCCGAGCTCATGTCTCGCATGGTACCTGTCCCCTCAAGCATGCTCTCGGGTAGATTCCTCAGGGTTGCGGCATGTAAACGGGCGGAGACATCTACCAAGAGGTCAAACATGGACAGCAAGACCAGCACCTTCACATCTGAGTAAATGGCGGCCCTGAGCGAGGCTATCTCGTCCCTCCGCTCCTCCTGAAGCTGCTCGACAACCGCTCTAGCAATCACCGAAACCTGGTTGAAGGCAAGTTAGTACCATTAACGACCTTCCTGTGGCACGAGAAGCATCCACCGACTCAACTCCCTACCAGGCTTCTTACGGACATCGACATATCATTCATAGAGCCTTATCCTCACGAAAAATTGATCCGCCACGGGTGCCACGTGACTGCGGGTTCTCTGGCACCCCATTCTTGCGATTGAGGGGCATCTAAACACATTTCCGCAAACACAGTGCATCAAGACCACGATTTTCGACAACACAGGAGTGCAGTTTCGATGCCGACACCGACAGTAGCTCAAACATCATACAATACCTGGCGGTCTTCCTCCCCACCAGATCGCACGAGTTGATCAATGGTCTTCTTCTGGCGAGCCCAATCCTTCCGAAGATCTACGATTTTTTCAAGCGGGGGAGATGTCTCAACGGTTCCGTTGCACCTATCGCCCGCTACAGCAGTACATTTGTAGCATTCGGTTCCTCGTCATTCAAGAAGTAACTGCGCATGTGATTTTACGTGGCAAACACGACATCCATACCGAGATTCACACAGGGGGCAGAGACTAGACTGGAGAATGTAGAGAACCACGGGACGAGGATATACAGGCCCTGCACAAGGCCGCAGGTCCGTATCTCATGTTGAGAATGGTAGAGTTTTCATCTCTTACCAGTGGCTGCTTTGGAGTCCTCGCCGTCACACTCATCAGATACCATCGTCGCGTAGTCTCGGCAACGTTCCTGGTAGAGGTCACTGATCTTCTGCATTTCCTGGTCAACCTCTGCCCTCATCATGCCTTGCTGTCGTTCGAGCACCTGTTTCACCTCATTGACGCCTTCCAACTCTCTCTTGGCCGCCTTTCGTTGGGTGTGAATGAAAACGTAATACCGTATCAAATAACGAATCTCATCAACGGTGCAGTGTTTTTTTCATGCCGAGGAGCACGCGGGAGCGTGCAACATGTGCCATTCAGTTTTAACGTACTTGCTTCATGGCTGCGTCGTAGATCAGGACGCGCTCGCGCTTGTGGATCTTGACTGTGGTCTCCAAAGCTTTGTTCTTCTCGGCTTGGTCGCGCATCTTCTCAGCAGTTTGCTCCACCTGCTCCTTGGAAACGATCATCCATTTTGATTGATGACGCTCCTTGCCTCCCTCGACATTCAACGGAGGCAAGGCAGGGCCTAGCTGCGTTCCTGAGCCAGCGGGCAAGACGTTTCCTTCCTCCAGCCTCCTCGTGTTCCTCGGCAAGCCTCCAAAACTACCGTGAGGTAGGGCCGCGCCACGCAGAACCTGAGCGTCGGACTCACTGCTCTCCAAGAGGGTGAACAGGCGGTGGCAAGGGGGCTGCTCCGCCGCACCCCCGCCGCTGTATGGTATGATCGCCAGCGATTGCATGCCTCTAGCACCGCTTTCGTGAGGGTCTTGACCGCAAGCTTGCGACTTGATATCCCCTTGATCCTCTCGTCCATGTGAAGGAAGAGGGGTAAGAGTACGAATAGAGGTCTCACGTGGAACGTCAATCCCACGCTGGCTCGATGGGCGCGTTGATAACGAATCCGCGGACTCACCCTTTGGGTTGCTTTCCGGTTGATCAGCGAACCTCACTCTCTTGGATGTCTTGGGTTGGACGTCCATGTCGGGGAAATCGGAAATTCAAATTTCCGGGAGAGATCTACACTCACTTCGGGTTATTTTGAGCGAACTGGGCAACTACTGATAGCAGAATCGCCTAGCGTAACGCACGACACACACACGTAACACGCCCGTGCCGGTGTGCCGGTGGCGGGTGGTGGGTGTGTGCGTGTGTGCGGCGCAAATGTACATCGACAAAAAAACTTCCATATCTTTGCAACACCCCAGCGCGCGGAAACATGAGAAACTCGCCGAAAAACTGCTGCCGTGGCCTTTGTGTTGTGTACTTGTGTCAAGAGTCAAGAAAGTGTGTGTGTGAGAGAGAGAGAGAGAGAGAGAGAGAGAGAGAGAGAGAGGACCACCAAGAAGCAGAGCATGACGATTAGCTTGCCAAGAACTTCAAGGAGCTTGTTGGTGGCTCTAGTTGGATCATTTCTCATGGTAGTTTCGGCTGCAGTGACGAGTGCTCGGAATTCGAGGCGCAACACCGCCAGCAGCAGCAACAGCAGCGTCGGCGGCGTCGGCGTCGGCAGCACCAGCAGGAGTAGAGGGAGGCCTCGTGATGGGGTTGAGGCCGAGGTGAGCAGTACGGAAGTACTGCCGGCTGCTATTGCCACTTGGAGCTTTGGCAAAATTGCCGTCGACGCTGCTGCTGAATTGCTGGCGGATGGTGGAACTGCACTCGACGCGACGGAAGCAGGTACTGCTGCACAGCGTAGGCTGGGAACAACTGCTGTATGCCTGTCTGTTAAACACGTCAGTAGTCGGGAAGTGCTTAACATACGTTTGACCTCAATTGAACCTATTCTTCGTTGCACCAAAACCACAAATAGTCCATGTACCGCGGTTTTCCTGACTGATGATGTGCAATGCACCCTCTGGAGCGTACAACAATACCATAGATGACACAAGATACCACACCCCCCTGGACCGAACAAAGCGAATATTTCAGATGGGTCCTACCAAAGGGGGGAGGAGTCTGAAATTGGTGTTTATTGGAGTTGATAGAAGAAGTGGGCATTTATATTATATGGCAAAGAGTATGTCTGCGTGCTTGCAGGAGAGGAGGCATGCGCGCCGAGATAAGGCAGCTGCTCGCAGGACATTCCGTTTGCGCCCGATCACGTTGAAGCATCAGCAGTGCTGTAGCACAGTGTTATGGTATTTGGAGGTAGACAAGTGATCGTGGTTGATCATGGTTATTTGGCGCCGTCGGATGATACGACGTGACGTCATGCTAGATCAGGGCTTTATGCCGAGACATGTGCCCTTCTGTTCAGTGTGTGCGTACAGGCGATCTATGATCGTGTGTGCGTGGGATATTGTGAGTTGGCTTGGAAAGCGTTAATCAAGAGAAAGAGAACAACGGAAAGCAACAACAACCTGCTACTGTGGTCGGACAAGAGAGTTCCACACAGCTCAAAGGTGATTGATTCTGAAGGAAGGGGTCAAATACCATTACAACAGGGACTGCTAGACGTACGATTGGACAACACTGCCAGCTGCTGGTTTAGGACATTCTGTTCCGGGAGCTAGTGTTGTCGTCTTCCCACCCACGCCACCCTCGAATTTTTTTCTTCCGAAAGAGGGGGGGGGGGGGGGGGGGGGGGGGGGGGGGGGGTCTCAACCCGGGGGAAGGGGAGGGGGTTGACCCAAAAAACTCCCTCCCCCCCACAGGGGAGGGGTGGGAGGGGGGGTTTTTTGGGGACCCCCCCCCCCACCACAAAAAAACCACGGGGGGGGGGGTTTTTAAGAAAGCCAATTTTGGGGGCCCCCCCCCTCCCAAAAGGGAAAACAACTTTTTTTCTTCTTCAAAAAAAAAAAACCCACGCCCCCCCCCCCCTTTATTTTTTTA